AACATGCTGCAGATACACCTATGTATCATAACTTAACAGGCTAACGCAACTTGTAGGTACGCATAACAAACAATTCCTAAATGTTATCATAGAATCAGATTATAGAAGTTCCAACTAAATGCTTAGACCCATGCACGTTTTAGCACTGTAACAAGAAGGAAAAACCAAAAAAGTGAACATAAATTGGTACTAAGACAAGATCAGTGAAGAGAAATATCAATCCAAGATAAATCGATGGAACTAAAATCATAGCTATTTCTTGAGCATTAAGGAGTTCAAATTATCCGAAGATCTCATACCCAACTGAGCAATATGGCCTAAAACAATACAGACAGATGCTGCCAAAATTATTTTTTCATTATTATTATTTTTAAATATAACCAAAGAAAGAACAACCGAAGCTAAAACATTATCCTTTGGCAGCAGAACAACTAAAAAGGGAAATCGAAGCCTTTAGGCGTATATGAGAGCAAATCTCAAGAATACGCCTAAGGACAGCGAGTTATCCATCTAGACACTTTAAACTCAACAAGAGACATGAAAAACACTGGAAAGTTTTGATAACTTTTACTTTTTTAACACGAGGGAAAATATTTAAAGGAAGAGCCGTTTGGATGGATTTAAAAAAGCAACTTTTAGAAAGTACTTTTGAAAGTGTTGAAATTTTATTTTTAGAATAAGTAATTATGTGTTTAGATAAAATTGTTTCATAAACACCTGAAATACCCTTATAACTATTAACATGATAAAAAGTTGATTAATTTAATGTTTTTATACTTACAAAAATTAAAACAAAATTAATTTATATTTTACACCCATAAGTAATAATATTTCATATAATTCACATATTTCTTTAAATCATCACAAATTTTTATAATAATAATAACAATAATAATAATAATAATGTTAAAAAAATGAAATAAAAATCATAACATATGTGTCATGTCAAGGGATCTTAAACTTAAACCTATGTAAATAACGACTTATCATGAAGGCTGTAAACATGAAAAGGCAGATTCTATTGAGATAAACAGAGTAGCTGGAGCATATCATTTCTCCATTGATGAACACAGAAAAACTGAGATGAGAAAATAAGAGAAGAAGACTCTGTGATTTGGAAAATGAAAATTGTATTACTTCATGTTGATCACACCTTATTTATACAGCAATGTAGGAAGATTCTAGATTCTAATCTAACTAATCTTGATGCACAGAAAACAAAGCCTAACTAACTAACACACTAATTCACAATTCAAGTGAAGGATTAACTAATTAATTGAACAACTAATCTGCCAGTCAATCTAATGGAGGTGGGAAACTCACAAATCTGAGTTCTCGAAAGCGACTGAATCAGCCACCCAGATGAGACTCTATCAGAACAGATCAGGCTATTTATCAATCGATTTGAAAATAGCACGCTCATCTCGCTTTTCGTTCATTTTCGCCACGAAAACATAGCCGCCATAATAAGAAGCAGGCGAAGCAGCTATAAGTACTCGCTTCACGCCCTTGAATTATTATTCACGAATGAATTGGGAAGAAATAAAAAAAAGAGGTCTTTATTGAAGAGGCTTTGCACCTGAAATAGGACTAATGCAGATCCAGAAGCATGGTCTGGGCTTTCGAAAAGATAAACAACTTGTGCAAAAAATTAGAAAGTTTGGTGCTTGGCAAGGCCTTGGTCAGAACATCCGCTAATTGATGCCTAGTTGGAATGTGATGAACGGCAACTAGACCTTCTTGTAGCTTGTTTCTAACAAAATGGCAATCAACTTCAATGTGCTTTGTTCTCTCATGAAAGATGGGATTCTTGGCAATGTGAACAGCGGCTTGACTATCACAAAACCCACGTATGGGCAAAAAACATGTTAAGTTCAGTTCTGTCAACAACCTCTCCAGCCACACTATCTCCCCTACCACTTTTCTAATGGCTCTGCATTCTGCCTCACCTGAAGATAAAGATATGGTTGTTTCCAGCCCACTCTGAGTCACAATATGCAGTTATTGAACAGTCTGCATTTTTGGACAAATATATACCTAAAGAGGGATCATTCTTGAGGTATCTTAAGACATGATATGCAGCTTTGAGATGTGGTTCTATGGGATTTCGAAGAAATTGACTAAAATGTTGAACACTAAAAGCTATATCCATCCTTGTGTTAGTCAAAAAATTTAGTTTGCCTACCAACTTCCTGTAGTGTGTAGGATCTATCGATAATAGGCCTTCACTTCTTTGAGTTTGACTGCGGATTCAAGAGGTGATATCACTGGTGTATAGCCTGAACAATCAAATTCCTTCAGTAAATCTAGTGTGAACTTTCTCTGAAAAATTATGACTCCAGAATCTTGATACAATATCTCCAAACCAAGAAAATATTGAAGTCTTCCCAAGTTCTTGATCTTGAACTTATCATGGAGGTAACCCATTAGAGAAGTAATTTCTTCAGCATCAGTGCATGTCATGATGATATCATCAACATAAACGGCAACAAACACTGACAAACTTCCATTTTTTCTATAGAATAGAGAGTAGTCACTCTCCAAATGAGAATAACCTCTTGAACACAAAACTTGTGCCAGCTTGTCATATCATTGCCTGCTTGCCTGTTTCAGTCCATATAAAGACTTTTTAAGTCTGCAAACCAGTTTTGTGTCACCTATCATGAGACCTGGAGGTGTGTCCATATATACTTCTCCATGCAAGTCTCCATGGAGAAATGCATTATTCACATCTAATTGATATAAGTTCCATCCTTTCTTAATAGCCATGCTTATTAAAATTCTGATTGTAGTCATCTTAACTACTGGAGAGAAAGTCTCATTATAGTCAATGCCAGCCTGTTGAGTATAGTGTTTCACAACAAGTCTAGCTTTCAGCCTCTTTACTGTACCATCAGCCTTGTATTTGACCTTGTAAACCCACCAGCATCCAATTGCCTTCTTCCCTATGGGTATTCTAACCAGATCTCAAGTTTCATTAGCATACAACACTTCAAATTTTGATGTCATTGGTGCTTGCCAAGCAGGATCAAGTGATGCTTTCTCATATGAACTTGGCTCAGTGTCATGAAGAAAACCTTTAACCATTTGTTGATTATCTTGGATGACTTGTGAGGGATAAATGGGAAGTAGGAAATGCAATGTGAGAATATTTAGTTGATGATTGGTGTTGTAAGGAAGGCAACTTGTAAGTGTATTCTTTCAGGTAATTGGAATGTTGTGTGTTCTACTGGATCTCCTGAGATTTAAAGATTGAACTGGAGGTTGAGTAGTGGTGTTTGATGGAGAACAACTATTGGAAATTTGGTTATGTGTTTGTGGTGGGTCAGGGGCCAATGAATTGTGAGTGTCTGATATTATTGAGGGTGTATGTGGAGGTAATTGTGCAGGCAATTGTACAGACAAGTTAGTTTTAGTGACATCAAAGGTGGTATCATCATCCAACACAGACACTTTGTTAAAGATGTTAGTAGTAGATTTCAACATGTTTGGATATGTAAATTTCCCATATTGCGCTAAAACTAGAATCAGACTCAGACAAAGCAAAAGGAAAAATATTTTCTTGGAATGTCACATCTCTGGAAACATGTATCTTCTTTGTGCTCAAGTCTAGGACTTTATACCTTTTTGTGTTACAAGGGTATCCCACAAATATATGAGGTGTGGATCTTGGATCAAGCTCATTTTTATAGGTCCTTAATGTAGAAAAACATAAACATCCAAAAGACCTAAGATGAGAATAACTGGGACATATGTGATGCAGTTTTCCAAAAGGTGTCTTGTTGTCCAGTACTGAATTAGGAAGCCTGTTAATCAAGTAAGTGACAGTTAAAATGCATTCTCCCCAATATGTGGTGGGGAGTTTGGACTGATATAAGAGTGCCCTAGCAACTTCTAAGAGATGTTTGTGTTTTCTTTCCACAACACCATTTTGTTGTGAAGTATAAGGGTAAATTCTTTGATGTATTATTCCTTTGATTTGAAGGTATATATTGGTTTCATTATTGATAAATTCAGCACCATTGTCTGTTCTTATTGACTTGACAGTGTTCTTAAACTGGTTTTCAACAAGAGATATGAAAGACTTTATTGTTTGAAGGGTATTACTTTTGCTACTGAGAAGATGAGTCCATATTGATCTACTAAAGTCATCAACTATGGTCAAGAAGTACTTATAATTGTTGTGAGTTGGGACATGATAAGGTCCCCGTAGGTACATGTGAAGAAGGTCAAAAGAACTAGTGGTGGAAACAGTGGATTTGGTTGGAAAAGGTAGTTTAGCTTGTCTAGCCATGGGGCAATATAATGCATGTGAAAGGTTGCTTAGGTGAGAAATCAATGGAAATGCTAGAAATACCCTTCATTTTTACAAAAGGAATGTGTTCTATTGTGCCACAAGTGGTTGTTTTATGAAAATATATATTGAATGAAAAAAATGACTAAATTTCGAAAAATAAATTATTCTTATGATTTAAGAGAAATCTATTTTTCGAATTAACAAAGCCATCACTTGATTTTTTAGTAAAAATCAAGAAAACTTAAAGTTATTTTTTAAAAGATTTAAAACAGATAAAAATTAATTGAAAATAATTCGAAGTTCAAATGTACATTACGAGAAAGTGTTAGGCCCTCGAAACGCCCGCTACTTGCGGTTGACCGACGATTTGACTAAAATATATTTGACAAATTCTTTTTTTAAATAAATAATTAAGTTGATCTAACATAAAAAATAATAATTTATAATATTTGGTTAATTTTGAGAAAAATAATTAAATAAATGACATATTAGTTTCATTTTATATATTTTTAGAGAAAGAGATCAAAAAAAAATGAAACATTTGACTTGAAATACAAGAGATAAGAATTTTAACAAACTAGATTAATTTGGATTTATTTAATTCATTATAATTTGGAACTAATTTAGTCGAAAACCCAAGGAATCATTTTAAACTAATTAGAAAAGAAGAAGCGAGGGTTGGACCAAGATATTTGAACAAGAATTGAAAAAAAAAAGAATTTATACACTAACATAAAGAATATGGTTCATCTTTTTGGGAATTTAATTAAGTTATCCTTAAAATTAATTAGTAAATAAAGTGATAGACAAATTAATAAATTCAAATAAAAAAAGAGTGAGAGAGGAAGGTTTGGGCCTTCTGGGCCTATTGCTGCGCAGAAACATTGGGCCAAAGCTGCTGATTTTGGACTTCAAAATCAATTCTGTTTGTATACAAACGTTGTATATCAGTGTATAAAATTCATATATTAGCCCCATTTCCTGTATCTTGGGCTGTATACCGAATTTATGCTGCCCCAGATCAAATTTCCAGCACCTGTATAATTTTTGGAACTGTACATCACATATTTCAACTGTATATCAGTGTATACAACAGTATATTAGCCCTTTCTTAGGCTTTTGGAGACCTGCAAATTATTTTCCAGCAACATATTTGCTGCTTTTCGACCTGTACACCAGTTTAGAGGGGGCTGGACGCCTCGTATATGGTAGTGTGAGCCTTTACGGCTCAACGAGAGGATGCGAATAGATGAAGTGAGGTCCGTAAGGACCCGAAAGGAATTTTTTACTTGCAATAAAATAGAAATGGGTTAGCATATGAAATGATATAATAAACAAGATACATATCCTGAACGAAAACAGATTTTACTAAAAGAAAGCTACTTCAAGGGGTTCAAATTGAAACGACACATGTGACTCTAAAGAAAAAGCAAATGAATCAAACTAAAGCTTACAAAGTTGATATCCAAATGTGACACTTAGAGATAGTAACATATATTTCATGTATATTCAACTATGAGCACATTATGTTTATGGAAGTACATAACCATTCATCAACAATTAGACTCAAAAAAAATGTAAAGGGAGCATGCTGCACATTTACCAAATAAACAACTCGTGCACAATTGAAACAATTCATTTTGATAAAATAAATATGATATGGATGCAATAGTTGGATTATTAAGTTGACAGTAATCCAACTAAATAAGACTAGGGCATCTTTGCTTAGACAAATATAATAACAAAGAAGCCAATGCTAATTAAGAAAAGAAACAGACCATTATAATTGATGCCATTAAAATGCAATATGAGACATGACAAACAGAGTAAAAAGAGAGGAATATGTATAGCACAAAGTTATGCTTGTTGAACAAGAGCAAAACAGTGGATAAAATTGTTAAAATATGCTACTTTTTTATGAAACTTTAGGCATGAATCAGAGAGGGAGTTCAACATATTTTTCCAACTTCACATGAAGAGAAGGGATAGGGTGCAAGCAACAAAACATTTTCCATTTTTCATACACTAAGGCATGTCTTTAAGGATAAACAAACATACATTAAAACCTCAAACTTTAAGACTATAATCTTGTGGAATGATTTAGTCAACGGAAGCCATTGTAAAAGAACACAACTCATGCTTTGTAAATACACACGAGAACAGGTCAATCACGAAAACTGGAAAAGAAACTAATTAGCAGATATAAAACAAGCATAGACATGCTAAGAAGGAAAAAATATCACATACTTAGAGAAAAATGTATGGCAACAACGTCGTGGGATCTGAAAATGGGGAGGTAGACAAGCAGTTGTATCAAACAAACAATCAATAACACAACATATAACCTCCACATCATTCAGTCTTCAAGCTTTCACCTCATTTCTTAAGAAAAAAAACCAGTATTAACGATAGCAAAAATGAACAAAACTTTGAGGCTTAAAGCCAGCAAAACAGGAGAAGAGATTCGAAACAGAGAGTCCACACCATTGAGCACAGATTCACGAAAGTTTTTAACTCGATATTGAAACTAACATGATAAGACGACTAAGAACAAACGCGCCATATTATAAACTACACAACAATTAATAGCCAACAAACAAGAAATAAAAGCTTTTCAAACATTAAAAAAGAATCTCAGAATAGAAGAAAAGATGGAGAGAACATTATGAAGGAGAAGAAGATGACGATACCTTTTTCCGGGCAGCAAATTGGAACCAAGAGCTGGCGACAACTTCACCACAAATCTTCAATGAACGCCCTGAGAGAAAAATCCCAAGCTAACCTTCCAAGTATTATCGATTGAAGCTTATTTCTACGTATTTCGATCGATTGATGAACACAGTATATGATTAGTATGTTTTCTTTTTCATTTTTTTTCTTGCTTCCTCTTTCCAGCCCCCCCACCCCCCCACCCCTAATGAAGATCAGAGTCGGTTTAAATAGATGGAAATTAGGGCTGATTTAGGTGGAAAAACGGGTGAGGATGGGGTCCAATTCAAGATTTGAAATTCAAAATCTCTTCAGAGGAACAGGTAGAAAGTTGTCCATAGTACTAATTCCCAACGGAATTGAAAGGAGAGTCATCCGATATCGACTCTAGGACGAGAGAGACGCTGAGATTTTGCCACCTCGCCTTGCTCTCTGCACAAGTACGCTGCCTTCCTCTGAAAATCGCACAACCAGACTGAGAAAGGGAAGAAGACGTGTCACGCGCGATCGAATTCTGGGTTTGGGTCGTCGTTCTCTCACGCGTTGGGGAACTGTTCTGTGTAATCGCTGGAATTGGGTTGGGTTGGAGGGCGAATTGGGCTGGGAGGGAATATGATTGAACCTGGGATGGGTCACATTTGGGGGGAAAAACACGAGACAAGGAGTTGTTTTGGGCTTTGATGTTTATGAAAAATGTGAGCGGAAGACCCAAAATTGGTCTATTGAATGGTTTAAAGTATTTAATTAATAAGAAGAATTCACGTAAATTAATTTAGCAAGCTTCTTAAATTTATCAAAATAAATTAATTAACTTAGATATAAATGAATATCTCAAAATATAAGTACAACTTAGACTAAACTAATTTAATTTAGATAAAACACCTACTAAAAATTAAAAATCCTTTCGAGATGATTTCGAACATTTATAAAATAAACTAATTATGTACAAATTATGAAACATATAGGTTACCTAAAATTATAAGAAAAAGTGACAAGAATTTTCAATGTATCGTGCAAACTTTGTATCATATCTTTCTTTTTATTTTGATTTTCTTCAAAGTTTATAAAACTAATTATTTTAGATCGTTTGAAATTAAAGGATCTCAAAAATTAATTCATATGGTGGAGGTCCAAAATTTGGTGTTAACAACTGTCTGTCATTTTACTTGGATTGATGCAAAAAATTTGAGGAAAATGAAGTTGACCAACTAATTTTGGCCGACCACACTTTCATCTTTACGTAAAGGCCTTGGAATGGACCTTAGGATTATGGTCGAACCCTGAAATAGATTTCCTACATATCTCACGCAATATGAGAATTCAAGCCATTTGTAGTTCGGTGCACTTGATTTAACGCACGATTTTAAAATAAATTTAAAGTCATCTCAATACTGGATTATGAAGGTACTAAGACGCTCGAGAATAAGATTTAAGAGCGAATGTTGGATACAAACAAGCTTTCAACATCGAGATCGCCTACATATCCTCAAACCTTAGGAATCAGACTGCTTGTATTTCGACTCGATCGTTTGAAAAGAAAATCTATTATGCTAGACGACCTTTAGTTTTGGATAAGTGGCAAATTAAATGGGTATGAAAAGGGGGATTGTAGCCTCTTAGCTATGAATGTGGTGCATTTCACACCCATAATTAAGAACTTACACGGACATAATTTTCAAAGCTCTTGGTGCATTGTCACTCAGATTGAAAACTTGCTTCCGGTAGGCACCAAAATTACCGGATGCGAGACCAAAACTGACAAAAGCCAAAGAAAACCCCACATTCCTTTATAATAGGGGTATGGTATGATTGTGGTGGAAGTCGATCCTTTGCTCGCGTCCTGAGAGTTTGATACTCCTCTTTGGACTATGTCCCAATTTGCTGCTAAGAAAAAGTTCCATGTTGTGCTACATCCTTTTTGATGTCGGCCGCACTTGTGGTTTGTTTTTGAGAATTCATTCTTTCGAATGCTTTCGAAAAAGACTGAGATAAAACTCGTCAGCTTAGAAATACAATTCAAATGGGGAATAGTGTCTTTTACCGTGTTGACATTTAGTTGTTCTCCTTCTTCATTCTACGTCACCTTGATCGGTTTGACGTAAAGTAAATAAAGCTTATGTCTTATGTTTGCAATGTAACCTTCAATGTACTCTTTATTTGATTTTCAAAATACGTAAATGTTGATACAGCGTGTTGATATTTCTCTTGATGTCAATGTACTCTTCATCTGATGTCAACATGAATGAAAGTTGATGCAGTGCTGATATTTCTCTTGGTGTCGTGTTCGATGCTCTTTTTGATGTTTACTTTTATCATAAATAAAAAAATGCAGTTGATGCTGACGGGTGAATAATTCTTTTTAGATGCACGATTTCTACTCTGGTAGCGCATGATTTCTTGCGGGGTATGAATATCTTTCCGCGATGTGAAAATTTCTGAGAGGCTTGAAATCTTCTCGTGATGCATAACTTTCTGTGAGGTACGAAATCTTCTTGCGATGCATAAATTTTTACGAGAGATGAAATCTTCTCGCGATGCATAATTTTTTGCGGGGTATGAATATCTTTCCGCGATTTATGAATTTCTGCGAGGTATGAAATCTTCTCGCAATGCATAAATTTCTGCGAGGCATGGAATATTCTCGCGATGCATAAATTTTTGCGAGGTATGAAATTTTCTCGTGATGCATAAATTTCTGCGAGGGATGAATATCTTCCCGTAATGCATAAATTTCTGCGAAGTATGAAATTTTCTTGCAATGCATAAATTTCTGTGGGGCATGGAATCTTCTCACGATGCATAACTTTCTGCGAGGTATGAAATCATCTCGCGATGCATAAGTTTCTGCGAGGGATGAAATCTTCTCGCGATGTATAACTTTCTTGCGGGGTATGAATATTTTTCTGCAATTCATAAATTTCTGCGATGTATGAATATCTTTCCGCGATGCATAAATTCCGCAAGGTATAAAGTCTTCTTGCAATGCATAAATTTCGCAAGGTATGAAATCTTCTTGCGATGCATAAATTTCTGTGAGGCATGAAATCTTCTCGTGATGTATAACTTTCTTGCGGGGTATGGAATCTTCTCGTGATGCATAACTTTCTGCAAGGTATGAAATCTTCTCGCGATGCATAAATTTCTGCGAGGGATGAAATCTTCTCGCAATGTATAACTTTCTGCGGGGTGTGAATATTTTCCCGCGATGCATAAATCTGCAAGGCATAAAATCTTTTGGCGATGCATAACTTTCTAGGAGGTATGAATATCTTTTCGTGATGCATAAATTTCGCAAGGTATGAAATCTTCTTGCGATGCATAAATTTCGCAAGATATTTAATCTTCTTGCGATGCATTAATTTTTGCGTGACATGAAATCTTCTCGCGATGTATAAATTTCTTGCGGGGTATGAATATTTTCCCGCGATGCATAAATTCTGCGAGGCATGAAATCTTCTCGTGATGCATAAATTTCTGCGGGGTATGAATATCTTCCCGCGATGCATAAATATAAACTCTTGATGTCATCTTTGGTACCAAATGAAGATAGCGTTGTGATCTTCTGGTTGCCTTCTGGATAATCATATTGCCTCAATTGACAATAACGGTAAAATGACCTTCCAGATAGTGTATCGTCTTGATTGACAAATAAAATAAATTAACCATTTGTACAATGTATCGTCTTGATCGACAATAAAATAAATGACCCCACCGGGTAATGTATAATATTAAATCTGACATTATGATGCAGACGACGTCCTTTACGGAAATCGTAAAATCTCTTTTGAGATTTACGCTTGATTCACCTTCGAACCTAGCTAAACGTTCCTTATAAACTTCATGTTGTTGAAAATTGACTGAAATAAAAAATTTATATTCCCAAGTCTCCGACAAGTGATATAAAATGATTCCTGCATCTAGGAAAATTGTTTATTTTGAGAGAGTTTTCTCCTCCCTTGACTTCTCCATATTCATCGATTGGAGGAATTTGTTTATATCAAAGCAAAGCTATAAACCTGCGTCCACAAAAAAATTATTAGTTTTAAGACAGACTGATCTGTTTCTATTCTTCAGTTGTCTGCTCCCTGTCCATCTATCTCCGGTTGATCTTCCTGATCTCCCAACTCTTGATAGATAAGACAATATATTTTATGCCAAAACAAATGAAACATAAAAGAAAAATCTTTAAGAAAATAAATTTTTGAGAAGTAGTATTTTGAAAAGGGTCACTGCCAAGTGTAATGTCACATCAGGCTTAGTGAACTTCTTTGAGTCTGATGCTTGGAGGTGTATCTGATTATTCGCTGGGGAGTATTCAACTCGCTCTTGTCGATAAAACCATGTTGAAATTTTGAGGCCATCCTCAAAATTTCTGTCCCAGTTAACTATATTGGCTTATCCTTCAACTGTCGCTGCATAAATCGTGGAATTTTTGAGATCCTCTCAAAAATTTTGTCCCAGTTGCAACTCTCAAAATAACTTCAATCTTGGCTTGTTGAGAAAAATCTTCTTCTTGACAATTTTTGAGTCCCTCTCAAAAATTCTTTCCCAATTTCTATTTTAAAGAGGAATAGAAATCTTACAGGAGATATGACCGAACCCTTGTGTCACCTACATATCTCATTGAGGCAGGAATCAGGTAAAACATAGTTCCCCCTCAAAGGTTAACATAATAAGAAATTTACAAAGAAACCGACCGAGACCGACATAGACCGCCTACGTATCTCGTTCTTGAGAATTCAGGTCAGACATAGTTCATTATAGGAGATAATAATTTATTTTTAACTACAGAATATAAAACGATTACAAACAAACGATGCGATTATAGGCAAAGAAACAAAAACATTAAAAATCTTCAAAAACAGTAGCTCTTGATTGCATCTGAGTTGATTGACAACTTGAGATAAACGTCTATGTTCCATCATGACATGCTCGAACAAATGTGTCGATATATTTCCTAAGCAACAATTGAGTTCTCTTTTCTGATCTTCTCTCAGATGGACCCTGATTCTGACTTCTTTGACATAGTCATCCTTTTTCAGATTTACAATTTTTGTCTATCCCAGATTCTACTTACCTTGAGTCTCAAACTGTTTCAATTTTTGACAAGTCGTTTGATTATCACAACTTCATCGTCATTCTCTTATAACTCATCTTCATCTACCTCATCATGTTCATTCAGCTTGTGACATAACGTGATATTGACAGATTTTAAAAATTATATTTATTTTTGTAATACTGAAACAAAGACAAAGAACGTTAGATAGCAGAGTTAAAACAAGTAAACTGAATTTTCACAATAGGAGAGACTCGAACTATGGCTATGAGCATGAGTCATTTTGCCTTTTTTAAAACATTACGAGGAAAATTAAAACATGATTAGGTAAAGTAACACAAAAGGTGGGTTTCGGGCCTCATTCGAACTATCACCGATTTTGAAAACAACATAAAATTTATCTTTGTCTATCAAGTTGAGCGAGAGATAAAGAGCGGAGTGGAAGTCTAATTAAGAACTCGCTCCATCGGCTTGGCGTCTCGTATGCCTAGTGTCTCGATTATCTTCTTGGGTGCGTCATCACCTTTTTCCCAATGATCCCCAATTCCTTCTCCAAGACCGTCATCTTTGGCACATTTCTCTACCGGTAAGGACTCGCCTAAATGAGGCAAAGAAGTTGGTGGAACATGATT